ACTGACTAACTGTCGTGCCACTGACTTCTAACTGTCGTGCCACTGACTTCTAACTGTCGTGCCACTGACTTCTAACTGTTGTGCCACTGACTAACTGTCGTGCCACTGACTTCTAACTGTCGTGCCACTGACTAACTGTCGTGCCACTGACTTCTAACTGTCGTCCCAACTGACTTCTAACTGTCGTGCCACTGACTTCTAACTGTTGTGCCACTGACTAACTGTCGTGCCACTGACTTCTAACTGTCGTGCCACTGACTTCTCACTGTCGTGCCACTGACTAACTGTCGTGCCACTGACTTCTAACTGTCGTGCCACTGACTAACTGTCGTGCCACTGACTAACTGTCGTGCCACTGACTTCTAACTGTCGTGCCACTGACTTCTAACTGTCGTGCCACTGACTTCTAACTGTCGTGCCACTGACTTCTAACTGTCGTGCCACTGACTAACTGTCGTGCCACTGACTTCTAACTGTCGTGCCACTGACTTCTAACTGTCGTGCCACTGACTTCTAACTGTTGTGCCACTGACTAACTGTCGTGCCACTGACTTCTAACTGTCGTGCCGTTGACTAACTGTCGTGCTACTAACTGTCGTGCCACTGACTTCTAACTTTTCGTGCCACTGACTTCTAACTGTCGTGCCACTGACTAACTGTCGTGCCACTGACTAACTGTCGTGCCACTGACTTCTAGCTGTCTTTCCACTGACTTCTAACTGTCGTGCCACTGACTTCTAACTGTCGTGTCACTAACTGTCGTGCCACTGACTTCTAACTGTCGTTCCACTGACTTCTAACTGTCGTTCCACTGACTTCTAACTGTAGTTCTACTGACTTTTAACTGTCGTTCCACTGACTTCTAACTGTCGTTCCACTGACTTCTAACTGCCGTTCCACTGATTTCTAACTGTCGTTCTAATGACTTCTGTCAATTCACTGACTCCTAACTGTCGTTTCACTGACTTCTGTCTGTCGTTTAACTTCTAACAGTCGTTTCATTGACTTCGAACTGTCGTTTCACTGACTTCTAACAGTCCTACAGTCGTCAACTGACAGGCGACAGCTCCTCAACTGTTTTAACTGTTCCCTGACTGTCGTCCCGCTATTGTTTATCGTCTTACCGTTATTGTTGTCGTGCTCTTGACGTTCACCTGAGGTTCCTGTCGTTCCCCAGCACCTACCATCCATTCCTGGTTCAAGTCATAGCCTCTCCTACCCATCTCAACAGAACACGACCTGTCGCTGTCTCGCTCGATTTGAAACCGTTACTACGAGACGGTGGTCTATTATCCTGGCCTCGCAATGTGAGACAGTGGCCTACTATTCTGGCCTTGCAAAATGAGACAGTGGTCTACTGTCCTGGACTGGCAACGTGGGACAGTGGCCTACTGTACCGGCATCGCTAGACGAGACAGTGGCCTACTGTCGTCGCCTCGCTGGACGAGACAGTGGTCTACTGTCCAGGCCTCACTAGACGAGACAGTGGTTTACTGTCCTGGCCTCGCTAGACGAGACAGTGAGCTACTGTCCTGGCCTCGCTAGAGAAGACAGTCTCCTGCTGTCCTGGCCTCGCAACATGACAGTCGTCTACTGCCCTGGCCTCACTAGAGGAGACACTCTCCTGTTGTCTTGGCCTCGCTATACGAGACAGTCTCCTGTTGTCCTGGCCTCACAATGTGAAATAGTGGTTTACTTCCTGGCCTCGCTAGACGACACAGTCTCCTACTGTCCTGGCCTCGCAACGTTAGACAGTGCCCTATGTCCTGGCCTCGCTAGACGAGACCAGGACAGCATGACATAACACCGTACAGGTGAACAACTCCTGCAAGACGAGAAATGTCCTCAGTATTGGAACTGATACAGCGCCAGGCTGGCCTGCACCTCAGCAGACTGACGCAGGAACGCACGCAAATCTGTGCTCGTTTTATTGTACTTATCATTTGCTCATCCCAGATTTAATGAGCAACAAAAATAATTGCCCTGGTGCGCCCTCTGATGCTAATCATACGCGAGAAAACCCAGCTCAAGTAACTGAAGCGTTTGAATTTTGTCGATTTCCTTCAGTTGTTTTTGCCCCTGGAGGGAAAAATATGCCCTAAATTACATTTGAGTCCGCGTTAGAAAGGTTAATTAGCGTTGGCTAATTACCCAGCTATAATCTGGCTAAATCAGCTTTAGCCAGATTTCTCTCTCAGGTTGGTCAATTCTTGTTATCAGATCCTGGGTATCACTTATCTGTCAACTGTAAATCCCAGAGAGACAACAGGATTTATACACTCTGAGGTGTTTGTTATTTCTGTTATCATGGGGAGAACTAAATCCATGGGGATTATACAGCGCCTGGTAAGGGGCGTGAGGGTGGGGGGGGGGAGGGAATGGAAGGTATTCAGGCCCAATTCAGGGAACTGGATCACTGATCCAATTCTCTGGATCAAGAGCCCCTCGCCAGTATCAAGGAACCTCCCATGAGGGGACACTGTGAGGTGTGTCTCTCAGATGGCGAGTGAGACGCGTGTGCAACAATACTCAGATAACCTTCACGCAGGAGAGAAAAGCTCATGACGACGTTTCGGTTCAACTTGGACCATTTACAGTCACACTCGTAAATGGTGTAAGTCGGACCGAAACGTCGTCGTAAGCTTCTCTCTCCCACGTGCGGGTTATTTGTGTACTCTTCCAGTCACGGTATCGTACGTTTTTATTCTTCTACGTGTGCAACAGTTGGGTATTTTTGTTGTTGAAACATAAGGCTTAAACAGTAAGTTTCTTCGGTCAAGTTACATAATCTTTGAAGAATTAGACAAATGTGCAACATCTGGGTATCTTTAATGTAGACGTTTCGCCATCCAGTGGCTTTATCAATACAGATTTAAGGACATAATGTGAAGACTATAGAATTATATACAAAAGATGAGGTGATCAGTCCCTCAGCCTTGAAGCTGGTGAAGAGCACCGTAGCCTTGAGGACTACGGTGCTGCTCACTAGCTAGATATTACATATGTGTTTAATTCTTCAAAGATAATGTAATTTGACTGACGAAGCCTACTGCGTAGGCGAAACGTTTCAAGAATAAAGATTTCCAGCTCATCAACTGGTATTTTATATCATTTTCAACATGTCTCTTAGTGAACAAACAGAAAGTGGACAAGGGGCTCGAACCACGGTTCGTAAATTAACAGTCTCGACGCTCTACCGTCTCGGCTAACCCAGTCCTCTGATAGAAGGAATCCGGAGGTGATACTCTATGACATTCCGTCAAAGGCAGCAACTATAACCCAACTGAGCTCTTTCCCTCGGCCCAGGAGGTTTAACAGCAGATATAAAGTGTTCACTAGAACGTTTGTTCATGTTCAATGGAACGTTCTGTTCATAATAGTGAGAGTTAACCAGAGTTTGCTTCAACATTCTACCTCTGGGATCAACAGCGACTTCATTGTTTACTAAATTAAAAAGATTTAATCCCGGTGCTTCAACAATAGTCCTCTTTTGTTGGCTGTTGGAAGACTAGGCTACGATGTGTACTGTTATTAACCGCTGGCTGTTTGTTCTCTTACTAACAGTTATTAGTGCTGTTATTAAATATTATCTACTATTAGTGTTATTATTAACCTCCATTTAAATAAGTACTGTTATTAACCGCTATCTGCACTGTTATTAACTACTATTCAATCTAGAAACAGAGGGAATTTGAAATTTGTATCAAAGCCCCTAATTAGTTCTAATGTACAGTCATCGTGATTTTTTTTTTCATCAAACCATATGATCGGTTACACATCGTGACGGCCTTTTTAGGAGCTCCTCGGTGATTGGCTGTTGAGGCTGCTAGTTCTTCGTCCCGTCGTCACAACAACACAACGGAGGAGCGACACCTGTCGTCTTCCTGAGTTAATAAACATGCTGAGATCAGAGAGGATGTATACGGTGAGAGATGAGTCTCTTCCTCAGTGTATACACGCTGAGAGATGCGTCTCTCAGTACATACAAGCTGAGATGCGTCTCTCCCTCAGTGTGTACATGCTGAGAGATGCGTCTCTCCCTCAGTGTGTACATGCTGAGAGATGCGTCTCCCCCTCAGTGTGTCCATGCTGAGAGATGCGTCTCTCCCTCAGTGTGTACACGCTGAGATGCGTCTCTCAGTGCATATATGCTGAGAGTGAACATTAGTACCTATGTTTTTGGGATTGAAGCGTGGAAAAAAAAGACACCTGTGTTTCGCCACTCGTGGCGAACCGTTCCCTATGATAAATGTCCTGAATCGTACATTTTTTCCACATCTTGATGGTATCACCACACGCTTCCTCAGGGACTGAAGTATTCTTGTAGGCTTGTGGATAGACGGGAAGAGAGAATTGGTAGGCTTGTGGATAGACAGGAAGAGAGAATTGGTAGGCTTGTTGATAAACGGGAAGAGAGAATTGGTAGGCTTGTGGATAGACGGGAAGAGAAATTTGTAGGCTTGGGGATAGACGGGAAAACAGAATTGGTAGGCTTGTGGACAGACGGGAAGAAAGAACTTTTAGGCTTGTGGATAGACGGGAAAAGTGTGATGGTGGTGTTACCCTGCGGGCTTTAAGAACCTTAGTGTAGTAGTGTTTTAGATCCTCGTTAAGCAAGGAACCTGAGACTATAGCAGAAACCATCGTTTTTTGGGGAGGTGGAAGAGTTCAGGATAATGTGACCACACTTGAAACCATTGGGTTTTAAGCGTTGTTTCAGAGCATCCTGGCTTTAAAGTGAGCCGAGGTAGGCTAACAGCTCTTAGCCTGTAGCATTGACTTGAGAAACAAGAAAGCTCACACTGTGGCTTTAGGTGTGGTCACAGAAGAGCTCATACTGTGGCTTAAAGTGTGGTCACAGAAGAGCTCATACTGTGGCTTTAAGTGTGGCGTCAGAAGTGTCACGCACCAGACTGGCTGCTCCCTCACGCACAAGAAGGTTCAGAAACATCACGCACATGAAGGTAAACAAAGACGTAAACTCAAATAAATCAAAAATGTTAAATTTCCAAACTACACATTTATTAATCTTTTACAATAATAAAAACATAAGAAATTATAAAAATGAATATATTATCTTATACTTGCAGACAACCTGGTTGGGCGTCACTGTTTAGAAAAATAGTATAGTAACTTTGTGACTAGAAATACAATAATAATGACAAATTGATATATGAAACAGGAATGGGCTGCATAATGTAATCAGAGATGCAAGTATGCTTACACAAACAGTTTTCTTGTATGACCTCGGTGGTTGGGAGGCAAAGGTGCCTGGAGTTTGTGTGAGAGAAGGCACTTACAGACCTGGTGCCAGCCTCACCTCTGGCACCTCTTGCCTCCAACACACACCCCAAGCTTGATTAAGTTACAAATGTTAATTCCGGTAGTGTTTACCACTGGACTATTGACAGAAAATAACGACCCTTAAGGTTCAATGTTTTTTTTTTCAGTGGGTCATTGACAGCATTTTTACTAATTTTATATTTTTTTGGTTGCCCTTTCCATTAAAATTATTAGAATAAAAACACTGTAGCCACCAGAGGCGTGTTTGTAAACCAGTGAGGCGAGCCTTGGGCAGCCTCCACACCTGCCTTCAAAAGGCTTCCAAGAGGTGTCTAAGGCACCTCGAAGGTCTCTACGAGGCTTCCGAGGTACCTGGAAAAAAGATGGAGGTGGCTTCCCTTGGCTTATGACCACGCCACGGCTGACACAGCAACGCCAAGGCTGCTGACACAACAACACTATGGGGCTGCTGACACAACAACACTATGGGGCTGCTGACACAGCAACACCACAGGGCTGCTGACACAACAACACCACAGGGCTGCTGACACAGCAACACCACGGGGCTGCTGACACAGCAACACCACAGGGGTGCTGACACAACATCACAGGACTGCTGACACAGCAACACCACGGGGCTGCTGACACAGCAACTCCACAGGGGTGCTGACACAACATCACAGGGCTGCTGACACAGCAACACCACAGAACTGTTGACAACAACACCACAGGACTACTGACACAGCAACACCACGGGGCTGCAGACACAGCAACACCACGGGGCTGCTGACACAACAACACCATGGGGCTGCTGACACAGCAACACCACAGGACTACTGACACAGCAACACCAAGGGGCTGCTGACACAACACAACAGGGCTGCTGATACAACAACACCACGGGGCTGCTGATAACAGCACCACAGGGCTGCTGACACAGCAACACCACAGGACTGCTGACACAGCAACATTATGGGGCTGCTGACACAACACCACAGGGCTGCTCATACAACAACACCACAGGGCTGCTGACAACAACACCACGGGGCTGCTGATACAACAACACCATGGGGCTGCTGACAACAACACCACAGGGCTGCTGACACAGCAACACCACGGGGCTGCTGACACAACAGCACCATGGGGCTGCTGACACAACACCACCATGAGGCTGCTGACACAGCAACACCATGGGGCTGCTGACACAACAACACCACGGGGCTGCTGACACAGCAACACCACAGGGCTGCTGACACAGCAACACCATGGGGCTGCTGACACAACAAGACCATGAGGCTGCTGACACAACAACACCACGGGGCTGCTGACACAACAACACCACGGGGCTGCTGACACAACACAACGGGGCTGCTGACACAATAACACCAGACTTAACTCTTAGTCACGTCCTGAGGCTCTCTTGGCGTAGCCAGAGGCACTCTTCTGTCCCAGCTGTGGAACTCTCTCTCAGCCTGGCACTGATGTTATAGTCTGGTTTTGGTCCTGTTTAAAACTTCTCAATAACATTTTCTTAGTTTGCATTATGGCCACTTTTTTTTTTCTTTCCGTGTGGCGCTGTTTTCATTTTCCTCTATTTTTTCGCAGCCTGAATGTGACTTACGGGCGCCCGAACTTCCACATACACCCCAGCTTTTGCAGTATCACTTGTAATCACACTAATCCATAGCTACGCAAGAGGCCAAGGTGAGGTAAAAAGGATCTTTGCAGAGAGAATGTGGGTTACGCTACGCCTGGTAGAAACGTTACCAAAACAATAGCACTCATTCACACAGTCACCAAAAAACCTCAAAAAACTAACACATATAACATTCATTATAAAAAATGTTTGTCCCGTGGCGTCAACAAGGCCCACGAGTCGTATATTTCTACAATGTATTCTCTACTTGTTTCTACTTGCGTCTACCCTCATCTACCGTCGATATGAGAGAAAACACATAACAGTAAAATCGTCTGCGTTATCCTCAAAGACCCTCTAAACCATCACCACTTCTCAAAAGTCTCTTTCTCTCTCTCTCTCTCGTTCTCTCGCTCGCTCGTTCTTGCTCTTTCACTCACTCTCTCTCTCTCTTGCACTCTCTCTCTCTCTCTTCTCCAGGTCACCCCACTCACGCTTTCTGTGTTCGCCCTAGAGCCCAACTTGTCACCTTTGGTGCCACTTAGTGCCACGAGTATCACTTTGTTCCACCTCAAATGGCACTTTGTGCCATCTGCAGTGCCAGCAACACTCGGAGTGGCACTGTGCCACGTGTACTTGCACTTCGTGCCATTTTTGGGGGAGTGGCACTGTGCCACATGTAATAACACTACTCCCAGGGACGATGAAAATTTGGTCTGAGACCAGAGAACTGAAGGTGACCGTTGACCCTCAAGACCAGAGTCTCCTGTTGGCCAGGGACCTGAGGAGTAACTACACAATGACCCTTTCAAGGTACCTGAGGAACACAATCATACCTTCAAGGTACTTGAAGAACACAATCACCCCTTCAAAGTACCTGAGGAACACATTTACCCCTTCTAAGCACCTGAAGAACACAATCACCCCTTCAAAGTACCTGAGGAACACAATCACCCCTTGCAAGGTACCTGAAGAATACAATCACCCCTTCAAAGTACCTGAGGAACACAATCATCCCTTCAAGGTACCTGAGGAACACAAGTCACCCCTTCAAGGTACCCGAGGAACACAAGTCACTCCTTCAAGATACCTGAGGAACACAAGTCACTCCTTCAAGGTACCCGAGGAACACAAGTCACCCCTTCAAGGTACCTGAGGAACACAAGTCACTCCTTCAAGGTACCCAAGGAACACAAGTCACTCCTTCAAGATACCTGAGGAACACAAGTCACTCCTTCAAGGTACCCAAGGAACACAAGTCACTCCTTCAAGGTACCCGAGGAACACAAGTCACTCCTTCAAGGTACCCAAGGAACACAAGTCACTCCTTCAAGGTACCTGAGGAACACAAGTCACCCCTTCAAAATACGTTTCTCAAGCCTCTTCATATTTTTGGCATTATTTCAAACACACAATAATAATTTTTGGTCACAGTAGCGTGGCGATGACTGATTGGGTTATAAACGATGATAATATATATATTTTTGTCCGTTTCCTTATTATAAAGTTCCTTCTCAAGAGTGTGGCGGGAGTTGTTGCTACAAGGTTAACAAGAGCGGGTTGTATTTGTACTGGTCCACTTCTAAACTCTTCCTATCACACAGCTTATCACAAAATTATGTAGTTATTTTTTTTTGTTTCGTACCTTAAGAGAAACCGTACTGGTTAGTTAATAGTTGTACAGGTAAGAAAAATATATGCCATATTTGTTAATGATAATAAAGGGGGTACATGTTGTACAACAATGTAATCTTAGTCATGCTTACAGCAAGTGTGTACAGTCTTGGCCGCCACAACGGTACAGTGTATCCTCGTAGTGTTGCGACTATATCATCACCTATGTACACATTCACAACCTTCGGCTTCAGAAAGTCAACCTTTCCATTACCTTGGAACAATACGCCTCGGGCATCTGTGTATATTGTTTCTATGAAAGATGGGCATATTCCTCTTTATACTATAAACCAAAATCGTCTATACCTGAGGCAGTAAAAAATTATAAAAGGTGGAGGTTAATGGCAGGTGGTGTCAGATCTGCGGGTGTGGGCGGTGGCGGCCAGCAGCCAGCTGCCCCGCCCACACGCCCACACTCCCGCCCGTCCTGCTGGGACACGCTCAACTTCAGGCGACACCTTTTTTGATTTTGTTCGGTGGAGGCGGGTCGGTCAGGGAGACAAGGAGGAGGCTGCTGCTGGTGGTGCTGGCCCGCCCGACCTCTAGTTAGCTACTAGCAGGTGCTGGTACTGTGACGCTGGGTATACGCCCATCACGCCCTCGTTCAGCGCTGTCGCCTTGTCCCCGGCGCCCATGGAAGCGGCACCAGGAGCCGCCCCGCCCATCATTCCGCCGCTCAGCGGCTCGTACATGGGTGGGAACTTAGGTCCGGCTGCCGGCTGGCTAACAGGTGGCAGCAGGTCTGTGAAAAAGGACGGTGATGTGAAGCTCTGGTCGAACATGCCGCGGCCCCACGGGTTGTACGCCCCACCTGCTGGGGCTCCCCCGGGGAAGTAAACACCTTGAGGCTCCAGGGGAGGGTTGGGACTGAGGGATCGAGGCCTGGACGGTGGGAACTGACTGCCGAACCCAGCCGTCGCTACCGCCACCGCTTGCTGTTGCTGTTGCTGTACGTGCTGCTGTTGCTGGATCATCTGTCGCTGTTTGATGTAGTGAGAGAACTCTGTGGGTGACATGCGGTTAGCGCGCTTAGTGCTCGTCTTTAGTTTCGTGGAGCCAAACTTTGTCTGGGCGAAGGTAGCAGTTGTGAAGGTGAGAGGGGCGGAACTTTTGTTAAGGAAGGCGTTAATGGGTGAGGCTTCCCGCTGCTTGAAGGGCGGCGTGGGCGAGCTGCCAGAGTATGGCGACGTCGACTTCGGGCTGATCGACACGTTGCTGAGGGACGAACTCAAGTTGTCAATGGGCTTGAAACACTGGGCCTCTGGGTTGAACGTTTTGGTCACCTCCTTGTCGAGGTTCTCCTCCTGTGTAGCGGATTCTGCAGCCTCGGAGTACAGGACTTTAATCTGGCCCTTCTCTCCGATCCTGTAGGACACCTCGCCGGGGTCTACCCAGACAGCGAGATCCTCTGGCAGGTTGTCCTTGATTTCCCGTACTTCCATACCCGCCTCCCGCGCCGCCTTCTCCAACACCGGGTCAATGGGATCCCCGGCTTTGAGACAGCGATAGGCTGAACCTTTCATAGGTTTGTCTGGGTACCAGTGTCCTTCGAATTTCTCCTTCAGTGCCTTCTCCAACTCTTCACCGAAGATGTTGACGCGCCGCCGTGGCAGTTTGTTGTACATGTACGAAATGACGAAATTGAGCGCCACTTGGATTTCGAGGTGCATTGTCGGAAGCTGTTGTTGGTGGCGAGCCTGGAGGCTTGGCAAGGTGGTGGTGGTGACGTGGCTAGCGAGGAACCTCGGAGGTGCTGCTGGTGGTGTTGGTGACGCTAAGATGGTGTCGCCGCCCTCCTTCCCTCAGTCATGCGCGCCTGTGGAACACAACAAGAGTTACTATGTCATCCTCAGCCGGATCTTACTAACCTAACATCTCTCATAGGCACCTGTCGATAGACACTTGGCCTATTTGTGTGTATGATTACTGCTAAATAAAGTAACTATGTAACCCATACGGGTTTAGCGCTTTCTTGTGAACATAATAGCAGTTTAATAAAGCAACACATAGTAAGACCGACAAAACCCACAAATTGTTATTAAATTTCATTATTATTATTTCATTAAAGTTATATTATAATTTTTATTAATGTTAAATTCAGTGGGAAAGCTAAACCCGTAGGTATCATGCAGCGCTTGGGGAATAAGATTTAATCCGAGGATAGGGAGAGTAGCTGCCAGTGTCTGAATCAAGAACCCCATCACCAACATCAAGAACAAATCATACCCCAGGCGGGGATAGAACCCGCGATCAATCTCAAAACTTAAGAACAAATCACCAATATCAGGAACCCCATCAGCAGCATCAAGAACCCCATCAGCAGCATCAAGAACCCATCACCAACATCAAGAGCCCCATCAGCAGCCTCAAAAACCCATCACCAACATCAAGAACCCCATCACCAGCATCAAGAACCCATCACCAACATCAAGAACCCATCATCAACATCAAGAACCCCATCAGCAGCATCAAGAACCCATCACCAACATCAAGAACTCCATCACCAGCATCAAGAACCCATCACCAACATCAAGAACCCATCATCAACATCAAGAACCCCATCAACAGCATCAAGAACCCATCACCAACATCAAGAACCCCATCAGCAGCACAAAGAACCCCATCATCAGCATCAAGAACCCATCACCAACATCGAGAACCCCATCACCAGCATCAAGAACCCATCAACAGCATGAAGAACCGCATCATCAGCATCAAGAACCCATCACCAACATCAAGAACCCCATCATCAGCATCAAGAACCCATCACCAACATCAAGAACCCCATCAGCAGCACAAAGAACCCCATCACCAGCATCAAGAACCCATCACCAACATCAAGAACCCCATCACCAGCATCAAGAACCCATCACCAGCATGAAGAACCGCATCACCAGCATCAAGAACCCATCACCAACATCAAGAACCCCATCACCAGCATCAAGAACCCATCACCAGCATGAAGAACCGCATCATCAGCATCAAGAACCCATCACCAACATCAAGAACCCCATCACCAGCATCAAGAACCTATCACCAGCATCAAGAACCGCACCATCAGCATCAAGAACCCATCACCAACATCAAGAACCCCATCAGAAGCATCAAGAACCCATCATCAACATTAAGAACTCACCACCAGCATCAAGAACATATCACCAGTATCAAGAATCCATCACCAGGCTCAAGAACCCATCACCAGCATCAAGAACCAATCACCAACATCATGAACCCATCACCAGCATCAAGAACCCATCACCAACAGCATGAACCCATCACCAGCATCAAGAACCCATCACCAACAGCATGAACTCATCACTAGCATCAAGAACCCATCACCAACAGCATGAACCCATCACCAGCATCAAGAACCCATCATCAACAGCATGAACCCATCACCAGCATCAAGAACCCATCACCAGCATCAAGAACCCATCACCAACAGTATGAACCCATCACCAGCATCAAGAACCCATCACCAGCATTAAGAACCCATCACCAACAGTATTAACCCATCACCAGCATCAAGAACCCATCACCAGCATCAAGAACCCATCACCAACAGCATGAACCCATCACCAGCATCAAGAACCCATCGCCAGGACACAAGCAGCGCCACAATAAGCTAAATACAGTTAATTAAGCTGGCTAGCAAGAACCAGCTGTTGGAGAGAGAGAGAGAGAGAGAGAGAGATACAAACAATTCTTTCCGACTAAGAAAATGGAACTTCCTGAATTAATTCAACAGATCAAGCTAGATATGTGTGTGTGTGTGTGTGTGTGTGTGTGTGTGTGTGTGTGTGTGGTGTGTGTGTGTGTGTGTGTGTGTGTGTGTGTGTGTGTGTGTGTGTGTGTGTGTGTGTGTGTGTGAAGATGGAGAGATGGTTTTTAAATCAATTAGTTCTGAGTGATAATTAAAAATCATACATAACTAGGATTTAGTAAATCAAGTCAATTCAGTGACACGACCATCGCATACACGGTATTACAGAAGGTAATGTTATTCTCCTGTTCAGTGTTATGCTCCTGTTCAGTGTTATATCCCCGTTCAGTGTTATGCTCCTGTTCAGTGTTATGTGCCTGTTCAGTGTTATACTCCTGTTCACTGTTATAACCCTGTTCACTGTTATGTGAGGATATCTCCAAAGAATACTAGGTCAACTTAGTGATCTCACTCTAGCATCTAGCATGTTTCTGGTTTTGTAACAATTTGTCAGAGAGTATTCTAGTCCAGTTGTCCCGTAAATTATGTGGCATCTGAACAGAGGTTTTGAATTTCCTCAGTGTGAATACAAACTAACCAAACAAAAGTCGAGAAGTTGAGATCTTTAATAACAAAAGTGTCTTGATGGTAATAATTACAGTTAATATTGTTTGAATAATTAAGAAGATAAGAGCCTACACAACTCATGGAGTATAACTTAGTATACTTATATATTATAGTTATTCTGTACATATTATATAATACTATGTGCATACTAAAGATACTGTATTACTGATCGACACCATGCCTAACCCTTCTAGGGTAGGGTAGGTGCCTGAGCCCGAGCCTTTAGCTCATAAGACTGTCATTCCCATTTGCCCCCTTGGGGCGGGGATGGCAGACCAGAGAGGCCTAGCTTGTGGCTAGGCCTGGGGACAGTTGGTCCCAAAGATGAGGAGATACTTGTGCCTCCTCCCATGGGAGGCTTAGGTCTCAGACACTCCCTAAAGAGGGAGCCAAGGCCGGGCCACCACTTGGAAAAGGCCCGGGCCGGGAGAATACCGGCTAATCTTTAATAATAATAATAATAATAACTGTACTACTCTGAATAAGTACCGTCTGGTACGTTGCTATGATATACATATACTCAAGTACAAGAGTAATGAAGTGTATGTACGTGTTTGCGTAATTGCTCAGTATGTGCTCAGTCAGACTCGACTTAGATTTAAAATGTGACTGCCAACAAGAAGTCCCTAAACAATCTAATTTCTGGACCATCGAAGCAAACAGACAGCTTGCTATGACGACCAATTCGCCAAACAGCAATAATGTTCGAAGTAACAGTGAACAGCACAGCATCAGGCAAGGAATAAGGAGACCAAAACCAACCTAACAGTGGACCTTCAACAGATCCTTCACCAAAGGCATAAAACTCCCTTATTACTGAAAATGAGTTCAGCAATTCCAGTTTCCTGACTACGACAGTGCGTAGATGCCAGAACTAATGGTAGGTCGAGAGTTGAACTCGGGACCAGAGATATCGTGTCTCCATGACAACCTCTGAAAATGTCAAATATCACTAGGGTCTGAATAATGTCCCGTGAAGAGAGTTACGAGATGTATGTCCTGGCTCACCAACGGAGACATACTTCACCAAAACCAGTCTAAATAACACGAGCTAATGAGAATTCTCTAAGACAGAGCAAGAGACATGATGTTTCCTCCATGAGAAGCAGCGAGAGAGAGAGAGAGAGAGAGAGAGAGCATCTTGCCTCCATGAGCAACAGATAAAGAGGAAGAGGCAAGGCTGGCAGATCCGACATAAGGTAACTCATGCTATGTTGCGCCTGACACGAACAATACAACAAGTGGGTAGGTAGTTTGCAAAGTGCTGGCAGCCAATCAACACTCTCCAACAGTGCGCACAATGAGAGGTGTAGTTGTTAAATCCTCCCTACACACATAAGCTAATATAATAAGTCAATAATAATATAAAGCACGATATTTTTAATTTTAGCTATTATTGAAAATATCAGCAATATACAGTTTTATGAAAAGACAATATATGCAATATTTGCTGTGTCCTTTGTCTGAGGTTGATATATATATATATCGTGCCGAACAGGTAAAACTGGTCAATTGCCTAGAACTCATTTAAAATTAAGTCCGTTCTAAAAATATCTCTTAAACGTTTAAAGATATATTTTTTTTTCATTCATGTTAATGTAAAAACTAATAATTTTTGTACCAAAAGAATCTTAGAAAACTTACCTAACCTTATTATAACAAGCGCAATTTAATTTAGCCTAATCCAACTAAATATATTTTAGACAAGTTTACAATAATTTAATAATAAAGAAACATAATGAAATATATGTTTTTCGTTAGGTTCAGAAAGATTTTTGCGAAATTATTGCATACACAAATTTTCGCTTGCCTCATTCGGCAAGAAGAGCATTGCTATTTAAGCCACGACATTATTATATATATATATATATATATATATATATATATATATATATATATATATATATATATATATATATATATATATATATAATATATATATAAATATATATATATATATATATATATATATATATATATATATATATATATATATATATATATATATATATATATATATATATATATATGGTTTAGAAAGACACGTAAGCAAACACTATGACATATTTATTAGAAAACGTTTCGGTCCTGGGACCTTGATCACTTCTAACATACAGAGGTAGAAAGACATTATATATATATAGTAGGCGGAGAGTGAGGTGTGACGCACGTGACCTGAGGAATGTCATAAGAACATAAGAATGGAGGAACACTGCAGAAGGCCTACTGGCCCATGCGAGGCAGGTCCCTATCAAAACAACCTCTACCTATGATGAGGACGGGTAGACGATGAAATCATGTGACTCCTGTGTTGTTGGGTTGGTGCTGCTTAAGTATCATGTATGCCAATGTTTTTGAAATTTTGTAGTTTCCAGTGTTGCGTTCTATAGTGTCGGTGACGGCGATTAGTGAGGCTTCTAGGCACCGTCGGCGTCTGAGGTCTGGTTCGGTGAGAACGAGTTGTGCCTCATTCCAGTTCATCAAAT